ACACACACACACACACACACACACACACACACACACACACACACACCGGGCTTTGTGTCCACCCTCCGCAATGGCAGTCAGGAGCCAGCCCACCTGGCCCACCTGGCGTGAGAGCTGCTTGCTTGTCACACTGTTTGGGCCGTGGATCTGTTTGTACTTCCAGATGTTGAGTAGTTGCTTGAGTGAATGTCTCCTCTGCATCAACATTGAATATATGTGCTTCCCGGAGTTCCCAGGCAGACTGTAGGTGGACCTGGCTATAGGGTGTAGCTCGATGGCAACACCTGTGTAAATAAAGGAGTGACAGTCCCAGAATTTTAAAAAAAAAAAAAAAAAGTGCTTCAAAGGGGCTGGAGAGATTGCTGAGCGGTCAAGGGCACATACTGCTCTTGTAAAGGACCTGAGTTTGGATCCTAGCACCCACGATGGGAGGCTCACAGCCATCTGTAACTCTGGTCCCAGGGGAGCTCCATGCTTCTGAACTACTCCGGCACTTGTACGTACCTCCACACCAGCACACAGGTAATTAAAAATAAGATAAAGTCTTTTGAAATAAGTGCTTCATGGATCAGGTATGAAATTAAGATCCTTGCATGCTAAATCAAAAAAAAAAAAACCCAAAGCAAATAAAGGGGTAATAATAAAGGTGCGTTGCCTCACCTTACCTTCAACGTCGCATGATGGTAGACAGGCATCATCAATTCTTTCACTTTTCACTTCCTCCTAACCAGAAAGCCTGTTTCTCCCTTCGTTAGAAATCCCCAGAACCACCAGGTGGCGCTTGACTTTAGTCCCAGCACTTGGGAGGCAGAGGCAGGCAGATATCTGAGTTTGAGGCCAGCCTGGTCTATAGAAAAAATTCCAGGACAGCCAGGGTTACACAGAGAAACCCTGTCTCAAAAAAACAAAACAAAACAACAACGAAAAGGAAATCCCAGAATCTGTCTGATCCACTAGCCAGCATGGGTCGTTGTGATGGATACTCATGAAGTACAGGTGTGACTTTGGGTCAGACACAGGATATGCTGCTTGTTTGCTATCTGTGAGGTCTTCCAGTGTAGTCTCAGCCACACAAAGCTGTCATCCCACTTTAGGGAGGCAATGCTGAGTGTGGATTTGCTCAACCTATGAAACTATTACCCGCTATCTACTCAAAAATTTTCTGTTAATGAGTGTGACAGGTGCATGCTACGTTTTAGGCCCGTGGTCTTGAAATCTTAGCTACTTTAAGTTCCGTAATGAGCTCATGTGTGAAGGCAAAGATTGTATCATGACTTAGAGAAGAATTAGGAGAACCAGGGGCCTGGATTACCAGAGGACTTCACGGGGTGGGGGTGGGGGGGACAAGAAGGCGAACAAGGTGAAGAGTATTGGTTTGCATAAGATACCCTTAATGCAAAGTCACTTGGATGGAGAGATGACAGAGAATCGGATGGTAATCTTCGTAAGGAGGGGGTGGACACGGGGTGAGCCCAGGCAATTACATTAATGTTTGTGTCGTCCATGTGCTCGTTCTTTTCCTCCCACAGGTGGTATTGGCAAAAGGAAAAGAGACCCAAGTTTGTGGAGTTTATGAATGATAATTACCCCCCTGGTTTTAAGTATGAAGATTTTGGAGTGCTATTCACAGCCAACTCTTTTAATGCCTACCAGTGGGCAGATATTCTCCAGGCCTCTGGCGCCAAATATGTTGTCTTGACCTCCAAACATCACGAAGGTAAGCAGAACACACACAACATATGCTAACGATGGTTTGGGAATGTAAGGTCATTCTTTTGGATGGGGACATTGAAGCAAAGTCATCCCATGAAAGCAGGCTTCTGTCAGAACAATCACAGGTGGATATTCACAATTGCTTACAGTTTAAGGATCACATAGTCCACTTCAGTTGGAAAGCATTATGGATCCCGGCACCTAGTGCCACAGAATGAGAGGAAAGATGAGCACAATTTTTATGTGCACATTTAACCATTGAAATACATAACCAAATTTATTTAAAGCTGCTTGAAGAGGATGAGTGCAGCCAGTCAAAGTTTAGAACTAGAGTGACACTTCCCTTTCTGTTCATTTGTTTTGCTTTGCTTTTTGTTTTCTGAGACAGGGTTCCTCTGTGTAGCCCTGGCTGTCCTGGAACTCACTCTGTAGACCAGGCTGACCTCTGACTCAGAGATTCACCTCCCTCTGCCTCCAGAGTGCTGGGATTAAAGGCGTGTGCCACCACGGCTGGGTTCCCTTTTTCCTCCTTAATGCATTCTGCAAAAGCATCATAGGCCTTACACTGCCTTAGTCTTGACTCCACACAGAGTTGGCTGTACTTTGGGCCACCATTTAGATAAGCAAATGTTGGTAAGGGAAAGAAAGACAGAGACTTCAAGGGAAAAGAGTTAGAGATTTATAATAGTGCCCAGAAAAATCAAAAGAATATAAGGTAACACAGGAGTCGTGAATCAATTCTGGTATAGCCACCTAGTGTCCTTAAGACCAGAGAACATTGGCTAATGCTGTCCCACACTCTTGTTAATGCACAAGGTTGTTTATTTTGTGTGATCTTCTTTATCTTGAAAAGTCACCTTATTATGTTCTGCGGGGGTGGGAAGGAGGCAGGTGAGATGAACGCAAACCAAAAGTCTGCAGTTACCTTTAATATTTTCCCTTTTGGCCACAGTCTGGTAGCTGCACCACTTTCTCCTCTAGATGTTTCTCCTGGTGGCAGTGTGTCAGTCTCCTGCTGTCTAGGAACTTTCTCAAACTCTCTCCCACAAAGTGAGTTCATTGAAGCTCAAATACCTTTAGACTAGTGTTTCTCCACCTTCCCATCCTGGGACCCTTTCATATACTTCCTCATGTTGTGGTGACCCCTAGGTATAAAATTATTTTCATTGCTACTTCAGAACTGTACTTTTGCTACTGTAATGAATCATAATGTAAGTATCTGTTTTCTGGTGGCCTTAGGTGACCCCATGGAAGGGTTGTTTTATCCCCCAAAGGGGTCACGGCCCACAGGTTAAGAACTGCTGCTGTAGACTGAGGCCAGGATGCAGACAGTATGTGTTGGGGTTCAGGGATCCATGTGCCAATTGCTTACACTGCTTACAGAAAATGTGCTGCTGACTTCAGCTAGGAGGAGGGTCATTGTGTACTTGGAGTGATGTGCTGAAATGAAGACCCATGTGGATGTTGTACCGCCTATTAGACTGGAAGTTTTGAGGCAGACCTTAAATGTTGACACTGCCTTCAAGCTTCGCACAGACATCCTTAGAGGGAGTGCAAACTATCAGAGGAACTAATTACAATGAACTTAAAGAGTGAGTCATTTCTCAGGCTTGTCCAGATGTAACTGTGAAGTGAATGGCAAAGGTGTCTTGCGAATGTCTATCCTTCACGATGCTCTAAGACTTCAGTGAGACAGAAACAAAGTTCTTATGGGCCTAAGGCACGGGCTGAAATTTCTGAGGATTTTATACTGTTTCTTTAGCATCTCAGGTTATATATCTCTTCTAATATTTTATGTAGAATGATGACCAGTCTATGTGCCAATTCCTGTTGTAATGTGAATTATTTCAGAGTGTAACACCGTGTGTTAGTTTTCATTTGGGGGTGCTTTCGAAAAACTATAACCAAGTGTATGGCTTTAGAGTAAGATAAATGGAGGCAAAAAGTACAGAACTGCTAGAAATAGCATATCTTCTCCCTCTTCATTTAAATTCATTATCAAGCTCCAGAGGTTTGCTTCCTGTCTTCACTAGTATTCTGAGAATCACACGGTAATAAAACCCATCTGAGCAATAGGGCTTAGAACATCATTCAGAAGATTCACACAAATCCCGCAGACGATATATCTTGGATCTTTATTCCAAATAGTGGAGAGAATTGCTCAGTGTGATGAAGTGGAAGGTGTCCCTCTCTTAGAGACCATCCACTATTATTGATTATATATTTTGCACTAAATGCTGTGCTAACAGTTGGCTAAAGGGTGTAGCCAAAACCACTGCAGACACCGAGACACAATGCTTTACCCCAAGAACCTCAGATTCTGTAACCGGAGACGGAGTGTACAGCTCTTACAGTAGACCCTGAAAATTGCTTTGGAAGACACCAATCCCACATTATTTATGTTCTCATCTGTTTGTTTAGATGAGTACAAGACAGACTGAAAAGTTTGCCCAGAAACGGTTCTTTGGAGAAGCAGTGACTTATGGGTTCCATTTGACTTGTTTCTTGGGTGGAAACTTACTGAAGTCCAGGTGATAATGCTTCGAGGGTTTTCCTACTGTCATTTTTTCCAGGCTTTACCTTGTGGGGTTCACCCTATTCCTGGAATTGGAATGCAGTTGACGAGGGGCCAAAGAGGGACATTGTCAAGGAGCTTGAGGTGGCCATCAAGAACAACACCGACTTGCACTTTGGACTGTACTATTCCCTTTTTGAATGGTTCCATCCACTCTTCCTGGAGGACAAATCCAGTTCATTCCAAAAGCAGCGATTTCCCATTTCTAAGACGTTGCCTGAGCTCTATGAGTTAGTGAAGAAGTACCAGCCCGACGTCCTGTGGGCAGATGGAGATGGGGGAGCACCAGATCACTACTGGAACAGTACTGGTTTCTTGTCCTGGCTGTATAATGAAAGGTCTGTACACTTTTATGCACCTGTGCTTGCCTGAAACACTCCTAAAGTGTATCTAAGCATTTACATTTCTGTCGTTTTGTGCTCATTTGTGGTGTGGGACGAAGAAATCGTTATAAACAATGCTTGTTATAGCTCAGTCAGTATTTAGTAAAAAATAATCAGGAGTAAACAAATCAGGGGTCAAATACAATCCAAACTGGTTTTATAGTCAATTTTAAAAAAAAATCACAGTCCAGGAATGATTGGGGCCATCTGCTTCAATTTGTGCGTCAAAACTGCCCCTGTAAGTGGTGTCCTGTTTGTTCTCTCTTCTTGAGCCACCAGATATAAGAAATTTGGGGAGTATATTTCACGTGTGTCAATGCTCAATTTTTCAGAGATTTTTCCAGTAGTAGGCACAAATTATAAGAGAAAGGCTAGGATGTATGAGGCTATTTAGTCTGGGGGGAAAAACTTGAGTATAGATTCAGCTTAGTCTACTATTCATAACATGAGAATGGGAACCTCAGGTAGTATATAGTGCTCTCACACATGTTCTCATAGCTGGACTCTGGGTTCTATGCCAGTTATCTGCACTATAACAACGGTGAAGGAACTCATTCTTCAGAGAAGCTGAGGAGTTCCCTTCAATCCTGGAAACAGCAATGTGAGAGTCTAGGCTCCAGTCACCACACATCTACTTGGCCTCAGACGCAGAGGCTCTCTGGCTTCTTACGGTCATTTGTCGGGGGTGGATTTGGAGAGCATCTGTTCGTGACGTTTCCTTTTGTTCCAAGAATGCGTTTGCTTGAAGAGAAACTCCACCTTTCATTTCAGCCCAGTTCGGAAGACAGTGGTCACCAATGATCGCTGGGGAGCTGGTTCCATCTGCCATCACGGCGGCTTCTATACCTGCAGCGACCGTTACAATCCTGGACACCTTTTGCCACATAAATGGGAAAACTGCATGACGATCGATCAGTTCTCCTGGGGTTACAGGCGGGAAGCTGGAATCAATGATTATCTTACAATTGAAGAGTTGGTGGAGGTATGGTAAAGTATGTTGTGGGGGCTGTTACTCTGGAATGTTCTTCATGATGAGGTGGTTTCAAGGATTTGTTCCCCCCCCCCCCACACCCAGAGCTAAGGACCGAACCCAGGGCCTTGCACTTGCTATGCAAGTGCTCTGCCACTGAGCTAAATCCCCAATCCCTTGTTTTCTTATCATCGGGATAGTGTAGTGCCACAAACTCAGGGCATTATCCTCTGTGTTTTTTTTTTCCATGAAGTGATTATGTGTTACACACACACACACGCACACGCACACGCACACGCACACACACAGATTGACACATGGGAGATGAATTATTTTCTTCTACTTCAAACTGTATTTGTTCTTTTTTTTTTTTTTTTCTTTTTCTTTTAGCAACTTGTGGAAACCGTCGCATGTGGAGGAAATCTTTTGATGAATATTGGTCCCACACTAGATGGCACCATTCCTGTGATTTTTGAAGAGCGATTAAGGCAGATGGGAACGTGGCTCAAAGTCAACGGGGAAGCTATTTATGAAACACACCCTTGGAGATCTCAGAATGACACTTGCACTCCAGATGTGTGGTAAGTCTTCCTGATTAACAAGTACTGTTTTGATAGAGGAAAGCACTTAATATCTGAGCTATATACAGAGAGATAGCAGGATAAAAGGAGAGAGACTGATTGGCTGCTACCTGTTCCACACATGTTCCAATGTAACACAAATGCAAAGAGACAGAAGAAAAATTAGAGTGTCGCTGAACATAATGTTTATCAAATTCTGCTTAAATAATACCTAGTTATCCCCTAGTGGTGGGCAATGCTTAGCTAAATTGACTCTTAAAAAATTGGAAGACATTTAGATCAGTAAAGAATGCTGAGTGGTTAATGTAAAACAGACTAGTGTTTAGTCACTAGTAAATCCCTAGTTTTTCAGATATTAAATCCCATCAAAGTAGCAAACAAGAGATATCCAAGTATAGCTGGAAGTTTCTCCAGTCCTGCCTGGCCTGCAGTCGGGATGAATCTCTCCCACCCATGTCCCACAGTCACTTGGTCCCAAGCAAACACACAGAGGCTTATATTATTTACAAACTGTATGGCTTACTGGCTCAGGCTTCTCCCTAGCTAGCTTCTCTTACAACTTAACTCAGCAATTTCTATTCATCTATGCATTGCCACGTGGCTTCCTGGCTTACCAGTACTTTCACATCTTGTTTCTCCTGGCAGCGGCTCACAGTGTCTCTCCGCTCTCCTTTCTTCTTTTTCTCCAGTTGGAATGTTCTAACTAACTTTATTCTGCCTCACCATTGGCCAAATGGCTTTATTTATCAACCAATCAGAGCAACACATTCACAGTGTACAGAAAGATATCCCACAGCACCCAAGGGCAAAGCAAACAAAAAAATTAAAGCTAGCCAAAGCAGGAGTCTGAGAAAATGGTAGAATAAGAAGGACCAACTGCCTCTGTAGAGATACCAGCTGTGATGGTTTAAGATTCGTATGATGGTGGACGAGCATCAGAAATGATACTAAATGTCATATTAAGGAACTTCGGGTAAAATATAAATGAAACTACAACCAGAAATCATCTCATATCCTTTAGAATAGCTATTTTTTTTTTTTTTTGAGACAAGGTTTCTCTGTGTAGCCCTGGCTATCCTGGAACTTGTTCTGTAGACCAGGCTGGCCTCAAACTCAAAGCTCTGTCTGCCTCTGCCTCTCAAGTCCTGGGATTAAAGGCATGTACCACTACCACCCGCTTAGAATAGTTCCTGTTTTTAAAAGTACAGCTGATGGTCTTAGAGAGATTGGACCTCCTGTACACTACAGTTTGAGAGGATCCAAAAATCACAGCTGCTGTTAAGGGGTAATATGTCAGTTCCCCAAAATATTAAAAATAGAATTACTCCCCTACCCCGCGGTTCCACCTCGGAGCAAAAGAATGACACCAGAAGAACTATATTCCCAGAAACTCACACGTGAGAGCATTGGAGTCCACTTATGGATGATTAAGTTAAAGGCGTGTGCATACACACTGTGGTACATGTATATTATTATTCAGCTTCGTTCGGAAAGGAAGGAAATGCTACAGTGCAGCTGGATTTTCAGGAATTTGTGTGAAGTGCAAGGACCCAGTCTCAAAGAGACAAATGTTATTTATGAGATACCTGGAGTAGTCATAATCATAGAGAAAGGAGCTAGGGGGCGGAGAGAGAGAATGGGGAATTGTTTACAGGGTGTAGAGCGGCCTGCCACTACAATTCATTCATCATATGTACCCTAACTCCTGAGCTTTCCTTCCCTCTCTTGTACTCATTTGTCAGACAATTGCCTTTGGTTCAATCCAGCTGTACCTCCTGAGGCTGCCCCTGGACTGCTAAGTGTGACTAGACCTGAGGTCACATATGTACAATGTCAGATTAGCTCACACTTGGCTTTAAGCCCAGCCCTTGTTTTCTCCCTCACAGCCCAAATCCTCCAGGCAAGGATGTAGCACAGTCTTCTGTTTCCACGCCTCATTGCCAGTCCCACTCTTTCTTAGTTCCTTTCTCACCCACATGCAGACACGTTATTTATTTGATCTTTAAAAGTCTGACCTCGTTTCCAGCCGCCTTCCCATTCATTCTCTCCTTTCATGCGTAATAAAATACCTTGCCTCGAAAAACCAAAACCAAAACCAAAACAAAGCAAAAGATATCTTGCAGAACAATTTTTAATTGTTGTTTCCAGCTGGAGCTCCAATTCCTTTTCCATCGAATTCACTTGGTTTAGGCTTCCATCCTGCACCTCCCCAAATAGCTTTTATCAAGACTCACCATGGTCTCTCCCTTACAAGCCCAGTAGCTGGTGCCTGTTCTCTGAAACCACGGGCACTGTTGGCCTCAGAGGATCAGACTCATTCGTTGTTCCTTGTTAGTCTCCTATGCTTGATCTTCCCATAACTACAGTTGAACTTGGACTTCCAAGTTCATCTATCTTAATTCCCCAACTGACATTTGTTGCTGTTAACCCACCTTTCTTGTATAGCCACAGCTGTCTTAGTTAGGGTTCCTATTGCTGTGAAGAGACACCATGACCACGGCAACTCTTATAAAGGAAAACATTTAATTGGGGGCTGGCCTACAGGTTCAGAGGTTTAGTCCATTATCATCATGGTGGGAAGCATGGCAGCATGTAGGCAGACATGATGTTGGAGAGGTAGCTGAGAGATCTGCATACAGATTGGCAGGCAGCAGGAAGAGAGAGACACTGGGCCTGGGCTTGAGCATTTGAAACCTCAAAGCCCCCCACCGGTGGTGACAGACTTCCTTCAAGTAGGCCGCACCTACTCCATGAAGGTCACACCTACTCCAGCAAAGCCACACCTCCTAATAGTGCTACTCCCTATGATCCTATGGGGGGCCATTTTCATTTAAATCACCACATTCCACTTTCAGCCCCCATTGGCTTGTAGCCATATCAAAGTGCAAAACTGCATTCAGTCCAACTTCAAAAGTCCCCGTCTATAGTGTATCACAGCGCAACCCTGTTTGAAAGTCCAAAGTCTCTCCCAAGACTCATGGCAATCTCATAACCGTAATCCCCTGTAAAGTCAAAGTCCAAAAAGCAGATCACATACTTCCAACACATAATGGCAGAGGATACACATTAATGTTCTAAAAGGGAGGAAAGGAAAAACAAAAAGGAGGAAAGGGAGCATCCTGGGGAATTACTGGACCGAAACAAGACTGAAAAACACCAAGGCAAACTCCAAACAATGCGTCTGTGTCTGATGTCAAAGTGCTCATCAAGGCAATCCAGGCTTCACCTTCACAACTTCACACAATGACCTCTCTGCGCCTCCATGCAGGGACACCCCTGCCATGTGCTTGTCCTCAGCAGCTTCCCTTAGTTGCGGAGACAGAAAGCTGGTGAAAATGTATTTGAACAAGGACTTGGCAGCTTTGGCACATGGTCCTGGCTTTAGAGCTAAGGATAGAAGAAAGGGGTTATGGGATCTCTCTTTGGGACTAATGAAAGCTGCTGAGGCCAGGCATGTGTCAGGGGTGTCCCTGTATGCAGACCTAGAAAGAGGCCATTGTGTGAAGCTATGAAGGTAAAGCCTGGATTGCCTTGGAGACCCCAAGATGTTGGAGAGGGTTTCCTTCACTGCCTGAGCTTGGCTGCCCTAGAACTTGCTCTGTAGACCATGCTGGTCTTGAACTCTGAAATCTTCCTGCATCCACCTCCCTAGAGCTGGGATTAAATGCTTGTGCCACTGTACAGGGCTCTAAATCTTCTTCAATTCTTCTTTTACAAGTTGGAGGCTTAGCTGGGTGGGGTCTTGCCCTGAGGTCACCACTCCCTTTATTCCATCTAGCATCAGGCTTTTCTTGAATCTTTTTATCTCCTTGAACACAGGAGTTAGTGCCATTAAACTTACTGGGGCCCCTTTTCTCCTCAAACAGTACATTTTGTATTTTTCCTTGCTCAGCTTATTCCTTTCATTATAGATCTGCATAAGCATGGTCACTGAAAACTCCATGATACAATCATTGCTAGGCTATTTTGAAATCTCTTCTGTCAAAACTGTGAATCCATAACTCTTGAGTTCATCCTCAGACAGATTTTTTTTTTTTTTTTTGGACAAGGGCAGAAAGCAGCCACATTCCTTACAAAATATCACGGAACAGTCTTTAGGCCACATAGTAAAATTCTTCTCCTCAGAAACACCTTGAGCTTGGCCCCTACAGTTCAAATCACCCTTAGCACCATTGTCTTTCATGCTTCTACTAATATGACGGAATTAAGCCCCACGGCAAGTGTTCACCTGGTTTTCTAATCCAAAATCCCAAAGTCCACATTCCTCCAAACCAAAACATGGTCCAGTCTATCACAGCAATACCCCAGTCTCTGGTACCAACTTATGCCTTAGTTCTTCCAACAAGGCCACACCTACTCCAGTGAGATCATACCTCCTAACAGTGCTCTATGAGTCTATGGGGGCCATTTTCATCTGAACCACCACAACAGCCAATTCATTATGGGATCTATTGTTTTTATTTCTGAAATGTATATAGACTCTGGCCACCTCTCATTCTCTCTGTGGAGGTTCCTATCCTGTGGCTCTCCGTTTTCGCACCCATGAATTATTTTAGTACCTTCTCGATTGATCCTCTTTCTGCCCTATCCTTTGTTTGCTATTATTACTCCATTGGTGGGGGGTGGGGTTTGGGGTACGTGCATGTACTTGTGGGTACAATGCACGCATATGCACAGCGTGCATGAGTCCATCAGAGGACTTGGGTGTCAGTCCTCAGCTTCTCTTACTGGCGTGGAGCTTCACCACCTAGACCTGGGTAGCTGACCTACCCATGAGTTTCCAGATATTCATTCATCTTGCCATTTTTGAGATTAGAGTTCAGATTTTGATGTGGGTTCTGGCGATTAAAACTCAAGCCCTCAGCCGGGTGGTGGTGGTGCACGCCTTTAATCCCAGCACTCGGGAGGCAGAGCCAGGTGGATCTCTGTGAGTTCGAGGCCAGCCTGGGGCTACCAAGTGAGTTCCAGGAAAGGCACAAAACTACACAGAGAAACCCTGTCTCGAAAAACCAACCAAACCAAACAAAACAAACATCAAGTCCTCATGCTTGTGAGGCAAGCACTCTCCCAACTGAATCGCCTCCCAGCCCTTGACCCTGCTCCTTTTAATATAGTCTCTAGAGAGCAGTCAGAGAAAACTATTGATTTATGATTTATTTATTTAGTCAGCATTTCATGATGTAACCCAGGCTGATGTCATGCCTGGCTTAGAGTATTTCCATACACAAATTCTTCCAAGGCTTCTAGTCTCAAGGGAGAAGTAAGGGCTTACAGAGGTCTCCTTGGCCTTATGAAATCTGGTCCTTGTTCTGTCTGCTCTCCCTGGCTCTCCCTCTCCTCCTGCCCCTTGCTGCTGTATCCGCAAGCCAAGCACACTCGTGCTCTGTGGCTTTTGTGCTTGTTTCTCAGCCTGGAAGACTTTCCCACATGCTTGCATGGAGTTTCCTGTTCTTTGGGTTTTATGGATGCCTTCTCAGAGAGATTGTCCCTGCCTATTCTGCTCAATGTTGCACCCAAGGCCTACTTTTCTAACACTAGTAGGCCTTGTCTTTCTGCATGTTTTTGTTTCTCTGGGTAGTCCTGGCCAGCCTGGAACTTGCAGAGATCTGCATGAGTGCTGGGATTGAACTGGCTGGTTTTGCGTGTCAACTTGACACAAGCTAGAATCATCAGAGAGGAAGGAGCCTCACTTGAGGAAATGCCTCCTGGAGATCCAGCTGTAAGGCATTTTCTCATTTAGTGATCAGTGCTGGAGGGCCCAGCTGCCCATGGTGGGTGGTGCTATCACTGGGTTAGTGGTCCTGGGTTCTATAAGAAGGCAGGCTGAGCAAGCCAGGGGAAGCAAGCCAGTGAGCAGCTCCCCTCCATGGCCTCTGCAGCAGCTCCTGTCTCCAGGATCCTGCCCTGTTTGAGTTCCTGTCCTGATTTCCTTTGATGATAAACAGCAATGTAGAAGTGTAGGTCAAATAAACCCTTTCCTTCCCAACTTGCTTTTTGCATTGGTGTTTTGACACAGCAATAGAAACCCTAAGACAGGGAGTGAAGCCTTGTACTCCCATGTCCTCATGTTTACTCAGTCCTTCCTTCCTTCCTTCCTTCCTTCCTTCCTTCCTTCCTTCCTTCCTTCCTTCCTTCCTTCCTTCTTCCCTCCCTCCCTCCTTCCCTTCCTTAATTCATTCATTCATTCATTCATTCATTCATTCATTCATTCATTCATTCATTCATGTGGTCATTCCTGCTTATTCCACTGTAATGTGGGCACAAGAAGTCAGGGACTGTATTCAATGCTGTATCTCTAGTCATACAACACCCGAGGACTGTTTACAGATTTCTTTAAATATTTTGTTGAGAAATTGGGGGAGCACATGAATGTGTCTTTAGAGTCTAGAGTGAATTCATCTTATCATTCCTACTGTTATCATTCATGCTCTGACTCTTGGGTTGAATGTGGTTTTCTTAGCAATGAAGCTGTCTGGTGTCCCAGTCTTTAAAAAAAAATCCCTTTGTGGTGGTTTGAAAGAAAATGGCTCCCTGGTACTCTTAGGAGGTGTGGTCTTGTTAGACTAGGTGTGGTCTTGTTTGAGAAAGTGTGGGGGTGGCTTTGAGGTCTCCTATGCTCAAGCTAAGCCCAGTATCACAACTGGTTCTGCTGCCCTCAGATCAAGATGTAGAACTCTCAGCTCCTTCTCCAGCACCATGTCTTCCTGCATGACTCTACCATGTGCAGCCATGACAATAATGGACTAAACCACTGAACCTGTAAGCCAGCCCCAGTTAAATGTTTTCCTTTATAAGAATTGCCATGGTCGTGGTGTCTCTTCACAGCAATAGAAACCCTAAGGCACCCTTTATTACAATTTTTACGCTTTCTTTTCTCTTCTATTGTGATTCAAAACTTACACTTTGTTATTTATGTGATTGTCTGCATTTTCAATTCAAGCCTATATCGCATATAAACAAGAATTGTGTTTGGCTCTCTGTTGCATCCCTAATAGTGAGCACACTACATATCCCTGTGACTTTGAGTCAGCAGGTGGAAAGCCATGCAGCTCCACTTAGCGTCTTTCTACACTCTGTTTTCACCTCCATGGGAGCAGTATGGAGTGGGATTTTAGCTCATGAAGCTGCCTTCCCAGAACTTCATTTTAGCTAGGTGTGGCAGCATGCCTGTAATGCCAACACTGAAGAGGCTAAGGCAAGAGGACTGTTGTAAGTTCAAAGCTAGTCTTAGCTACAGACTAAGACCCTGTTGCTATGGACAGTGGTGGCACATGCCTTTAATCCCAGCACTTGGGAGGCAGAGGCAGGTGGATCTCTGTGAGTTCAAGGCCAGCCTGGTCCACAGAGTGAATTCCAGGACAGTCAGGACTATACAGAAAAACCCTGTCTTGAAAAACCAAAAATAAATAAATAAAAGACCTTGTCACAAAACAGCAAAAATCAACTTTTTTAAAATATTGGCAGGCTGGAAAAGTATGGCAGTTTTTATACCACAGGGAGTCAGTTGGGGGGGGGGTAGGTGGTGGGTGGGATTAGGTCTTCTTATATTACTAGTGGTGACGTGGTCAAATATCTGTAAAACAATTCCAGACATGATCCATAAATAAGGAGAAACATGGGCTACCCACAACAACCAAGCTGTTTGTTTTTCCTAACCAGGTACACATCTAAACCTGAGAAACAAAGAGTCTATGCTATTTTTCTTAAGTGGCCCATCTCAGGAAAGCTGCTTCTTGGAGAACCTGTGGCTAGTCTTGGGGAGACAGAGGTAAGAAAGAACTTTATCTTGATTATTCCTTTAAATTGCTGACAAAAACATGCTGGGAGAACGTAACTTGTTTTAACTTCAAGGGAAAACTTTCCTGTGATCCTCTTGGACCTAAGACAAAGTGACTTTAAAATGAGCTCAGACAGTCGCAATGGCAACTAATGTTCAGCCACCGTTTTGTGAAATTCTAAGAAAACTGAATTTATGAACTACAATACCTCCATGCATAGTGACGTAAAATAGGCATCATTCTTCATAGTTACTCTCTGGTGTCCACTCCATGCATTGAAAATGAGTTTTTCATAGAACTTGAATTACTTCCCCCAAACGCCACACCAAGAACGTATCTGAATCAAAGTAAGATGTTAGGATTTGTCTATCATAATTTAAGGCTGTCCTCAGACCCAGTGGAGTGTGCTGTGATGTATCTTGGGGTCCCTGAGACGCTGATAATCTTTTTGGAGTGAAGTATTGTGTGAATTTGCTTGTCCTTTCCACATTTTATCTCCAACACTGGGGGTTGACCAGGCTGACAGAGAGATTTCAAATCCGCTATTAAAGCACAACCTCCACACCTGGATATGGCAGCAGCTGTCTTTTTTTAATCTTTGTCTTGCATGGCATTAATTAGTACAGTTAAAACTCAGGGGTTTTATTTAGTATTGATCCATGTGATAAAGTGTTATGGTTCAAATAACTCTTGAGTATGTACAGAACTACTTATGTGAATTCACTTTGTCTGAACAAGGCCAAGACTGCAAAACAATCCTAGGGATCATTGGTTGAATTCATATGCTACTGACCAGTGGAGGTCACTGGAAAACACTGACAGTCGGGGCTGACCAGGAGAAAGAAGTATTTATTTAAAACGGTGTGTAAGAACTGGGCTGGCATGAATTGGGCAAATTGCTCCCAATTATTTCCTGTCTCTCATCCCCTCTTCAAGAATTTCCCCAACTCTGGCACTCCATTCTCCTTTCCCAATCTCTGTCCATGTTTGTTTACCTCCTGGGGGTAACGTGGGAACAACAGGAGGAAGATGTAAATGACACGTGAGTGCCAGAGGTAAAAATGGACCTCTGTCTGTACTTTTTTTTAGAAACTCAGCCACTCCTTAGAAAGCGGATGTTGCAGTGATGTACTTGGGAACATTTGTACATTGTCTGTGTTTCCAATTACAGGTACAACTACTGGGCCATGGACAGCCACTGACTTGGACTTCTGCAAAGCCAAATGGCATCACTGTGGAGTTGCCACACCTAAGCTTTCATCAGATGCCCTGTCAATGGGGATGGACTCTCACGCTAACTAATGTGACTTAACCTGCAGCTAGGAGGTGTGTGCCACAGGTAACGCTAACCCCAGGGAATAGCAGGTTTTCTTAATAGGAGCACTAATGAAATCGTGGCAAAAATGGTAAGAAAAAGCTACTGATAAGGCAATGTAGCCTCCTTTCTTCTTTCCTAAATTGCTTATGTTACTGTAGAATATTTCAATGCTTTCCTACTACGTCTCTTCTCACTGAATTCATTTCACCTGTCAATCACAGGTGGCAATCTGTTCTAGAGAATGTAGAAACCGATGATGTTATGGACTGAATTCTCTCCTAAGTCCTATTCTTAGATAGAAGCCCTAACACCCCACTGTGGCTGCATTTGGAAACAGAACACTTGATGAGATGATTAAGATTAAACTGAATCATAAGGCTAGCCCCGATGTAAAAGAATCTGGTGTCCTATACGAGAAAGAGACAACAAAGATGCAGGAGTCCAGGGGAAAGCCGTGTAAAGTGACGGCAAGAAGGCAGCCAGCCATCTGCAAGCCAAGAAGAATGCAGAAGAAACCAAATCTCCCAACACCCTGATCTTGGACTTCTGGCCTCCAGGACTGTGAGAAGAGTAACTCCCTGTTTTTGAAGCCATCCAGGATGTGTTTGATCTCTCCCCACCCACTCAGTTATGAATCCTCATATACAATGCAGGCAGTAGGTAATAAATTTGGTTAGATGTGTTTTTCCCATGAACTCAGTAATTATCTTTTCATTGTAAAGAATTCCCTCTTATTTATAAAACTAATTGCTGTAGAAATTTAACATTAATATTAAAGATACATTAAGAACTTAATATATACTCTCTCAATTTGGAGATAGAATGAGATTGGAGGACTGGGGTAATGTTTTAATAAGGGCTAAAACTTAAGGGGCAAACCTAGTTGAAAATGGGAAGGTGTTACTTTCTTTTGCAGTGATGAAACACCATGACCCAAAACAATTTATAGAAGGAAGTTTATTTTGGCTTACAGTGCCAGAGGGAAGAGTCCATAATGGCAGAGAGGTATAGCAGCAGGCAGGCAGGGTAACTGGAGATCATGTCGTCAACTACAAGCACAAGGCAGAGAATGAACTGGCTACGGTGAGGCTCCACACCAGGAAAAACTCCACTTTACTTTTGTTAAGTTAAAAACACTACTAGATAAAAATTTGCCAGCCTTTCGTTTGAAACCAGGAACTTATGCAGGGACACTTGGCTCAGTCTGGGAGGAAGGGACTGGACCTCCCTGGACTGAGTCTACCAAGTCGATCACAGTCCTCGGGGGAGGACTTGTCCTGGAGGAGATGGGAATGGAGGGTGGGCTGGGGGTAAGGGGAGGGCGTGGGAGGGGGGAGAATAGGGGAACCCATGGCTGATATGTAGAACTGAATGGTATTGTAAAATAAAAAATATATATCACAAAAAAAAAAAAAAAGCAAAAAAGTAGCACCCATTAAAAAAAAAAAAAAAAAAAAAAAGAATAAAAATTTTAAAATCTGGATGGAGGAGGCCAGCTGGGGCAACATTATGAGATGCTTTCTAAAAACAACAACAACAACAAAAACCAAACAAAAAAAGAACCAAAAAAGCCGAGCTAAGTAGAACAGCATAAACCTATAATTTGAACACTTAGAAGGCAGAGAATCACTGTGAGTTTGAGGCAAGATTGGTCAACATAGAGAGTTCTAACGGCCAACATGGGCTACAGAGTGAGACTCTGTCTCAAAAACACAAGGGAAAAAAAAGAATAAATTATTTAAACTTCAAAAAAAAAAAAAAAATTTGCCAGCCTTTCAAAATTTTACACATGTAATTACAAGTACATTTATTATGTTTTGAAGGAGAAACAAGAAGGCACTTAATGTCCATTTAGCCAATGCATTAATTAGCTGATGCTCATTTCCTGCTGACTGATGTCTAGGATAAGCAGAGGTTTTCAGAGAGCGGCACACCCTCCACTTCCATTCCCACGGGTGGTGTGTGTGCACCAAAGCTTAGTTTCATGGCTGCAATGGGCTGAAGGTTCCATCTCGAACCTCCAAAAGGTGATCCTGGAAATGAAGTCTTTATAAATGTAATTAAGTTTTGAAAGCAGCTCATATTGGATGGGGGATGGACTATCCTTAGACCTTAGAAAAAGACACAGACACATCATTAGGTCATAGTTCTACAAACGAAGGAAGGAATGCTTGCTGAAGGGGCCAAGCAAACAGAAGGATTTTCTGAGAGCCTTCAGAGTAGCACAGTCCTGTTAATACCTGGTGTTAGATTTCACACCAGACGTGAGAGAAAAGAGTTTTGATGTTTCAAGTAATCCAATTAACGGTAATTTGTTACAGCAGCTCCCGGAGACTAATACAAATTAATTATGCCAGTGGAATATTTGATTATCTCGATTGTGTAAGCTAATGACTGGAGAGCTGCAGTTTTCTTCCAGCTAAGTTGAATACTGTGGAATGACTAGATGGAAGGGTGTTGCCTTTAAACAAAAAGATAAAAACAATAAAAAAAAACCCAACCTATTGGTTCAATGTGAAATAGTAGCAAAAGATGGAGAAGTATAATAAAAGCTACATGAGTACTGCATGTGATTTGTGCCAGAAAGACAATAGAGAATACCTATCAGTAGACTTACAGAGAAAAATGTGTCACTACTACCGGGGACACAGTGGACACACCCTGAAAAGTGAGATGAGATACTAGGGGAAATATTTGCTAATTAAGAGTGTTTGGATTTTAAGTTAAAATGTCTAAGGATTTATGACAGCCCGTTTTAAATCACTTCCTAGGTTAACCAAACTGTTTCAGAGAAGAGGTTCAAACGCTATTAGGAGCAAATTAGTAATATGCAATGTCAGTTAACTTTAAATACATAGGTTATTTATTTCATTTCTTTTAAACCTTGCCACCTCCTTCAATGGTCTTGACTCCTCAGATGCTGATGATTACAGGTGGTAATTTTCTTCTGACAAAGCTGTATCTACACAATCTCAAAGTTTCCCTGATGTATTTTTGGAAGCGATGCATGTCTTATTCCACATACACATTTCCTGTTGTTCCAAAGTGCAATTTCTTTCTCAATTAGAAATGACAATATCAGTATATCTCATCAAATTTAAAAAATGTGTCCCCTTTGTCATCTTTACACACGGGTGTTTCATTACAGAGCTCAGCTAAGCTTTAGGATGCTCTGCACAATCCATTTTCTACCATCTCCTACTTAGCTATGTTATATTATGTGGGAAGGACATGAAACTATGCTCTGAAAACCATCTATTACTGAATATAGCTAATCCATTGCTGACACCTTAATGCCCCTCTAAATGAAGAACCACACATATACTAGCGACAAGGAATAATTTACTTTTATTTACATTTTTTTCTGAAAGAAAAAAAAAACAAGTTAGAAGAAAGCACCAACTATATACCAGTTGAGACTTAAAACTAGTATGCTCTCTTAAAAAAAAAACAGCAAAAATATTACTAAATAACAAATAAATTAATGGCTGAAAAGTATTAACTGAACAAAACTATATTTTATTAAAATAGTTTATTGCAACAAGTTATTGTACTAAAAATCAATACAAAGTTATTGAAATTATTTATACACAAATGATAAAACTCTGTAATTAATAATTGTGAGTAAACATGAACATAACATTAGCCTGTAAATCTATATGCAACTTTCTGAGGGTTGCTAAGAAAGCTTTAGAAAACGCTGCAAATAAATATTGAACAAAAAATAGCAAAGAAAAAAAAATAGCTGATCAGAGGTTTTAATATCCACTGATTTCTAGAAGATAAGCCCTCTGTCAAGGTGTGTGGGACAAATCATGTGACTGGAGAGAATCTGGCTTTCGCTTACTTCAAAGTCCAGGAAACTTCATGATTAGTTAAACATTATATTTTCAGAGTCCATACATCCTAGATCTACTTTTCAAAACAGATTTTCCCTCATTATATGTGTGAAAGACACCACATTCCATTACATGTACATATAAAACTATCTACTTGGTTTGGATCAGCTATCCAGGTTGTAACAGATCATGAATGATCCTGGCGTTTGTAATTTGTGCACCAATTAGATACACCTGATGAAGTATACTACTGATGAATTAAAAATACAGTAAGGTGCCAAATGAATCTACTTCATTATGAAATGAAGACTTTGCTTAAGAATATATTTTATTAGGCATTTTTGGTTGCAAATTGTCACTCTTGGTATAGGTGATTTATTCAGAGTACTTTTCAGTGTAGATGAATCCCGCTTTAGCTTTTCTTGAAAGGAAAAATCATTTCTCCAGTTGTTGGGGGGTACTAAAAGCTTCGTACACATTAGCAGCAAAGTCTTTTACTTGCTCCATCATCAAAAGATCCTAGCAAAAATGGTAACAGTACAGTTAGTAAGACATGAACATTTCTACAAGCAATGCATCTATCTTGAAGCTTTGTGTACTTAAGAATGAGAAGAAACTAAGGAAAGGGATGTTTTTCTTAACTTGTAGGAAATACTGTTTAGTTTCTTATTTCTAGAAAATATAGCAACTGATTCTTAAATATGTAGTATATGTATATTTTATATAAACACATACAAGAACCATGCACATCACCTTTATAGCAAAGGTTCTCACTCCTGATGGTGACTGTAAAGCTGTGGGAGGAAGTTACCTTTTATTTTAATCAACTGAAATGTCGTGTTTCCTTTAAAAAGGACCACAGGCCTCAAACTACATCAGTATGAAATGAAAAAAGGGAATTTGTATTCAATATAAACCAGACTCTTTCAAAATTTCCTTTAACAGTTGTGGATGTTATTAGGATTTCCATTACATGTTGTCATTTAATTTAGAAAGAAGAAACATTGCTCTCTCCTAAACTTAATTTTAAGTGTATTTTGAAAACTCTAGTGTTTTTCTTTAAAATGATAGGAAGTAAAATGATAGCATCTTTTCCTGTCTGTGCTTGTTCTGAACATCCACAGACCTCTTACAAGTGTAAAATAAAGTCAGTACTCAAGTACTAGGATATTTTTGCTTGGTTTTTGAAACGGGGTCTTTCTGTACAGACCAGACTGGCCTTGAATTTGCACTCCTGCCTCAGCCTCTGAGCACTAGGATTATAGATGTGCATCACTACACCTTACTGATGCTTATATTATTTTAATGTGTAAATGAAAAGTACATAAATGTCTCAAGCTTAGAGCTTTTCCATAACTAAAAACCAACACATAAGCAGGGCACAGTGACACATCCTGAAATTCCAGGGACTCTGGAGACTAACAGAGGAGACTTACACATTTGAATGCATCCTGAACTACTCACAAAAATAAACAAAAAACTACATTTACCATTAAATGGAATCTACCCTACAAAACCCAACACACCTTCACTAAACAAAGCCGATGGTTATTAATTCATGCTTTTAGTGGCGATAAAAGTGTCATGCTTCTACCTGCCTGCTACCATTCATGTTTTTATGCATTCAACCTGCTTCTATACCTGATTGGCTTGGTATTCTATAAAAAACATCTGTTCTAACTGCTGTGGAACCACTTGCATGTGGGAGTGATTACCTGACGTGGCCTTCCTATGAATGATTGTCCTGTTGTTTTTCCCTTTTCCCTGCAGTGTTCTCCTTAATTCAGAAGCATGGTTAAACACTACACGGGGTCAACAAGAACGTGCACATAAAGACAGATATGTGCCCTAAATTCAGGGACTTTTCATCTTGCAATTGATGCTGTGTGGGTTGAGTTTTCTAGTTCCCTAGGAATCAACTAAACTTCCCCCTCAACTTCTTGGCCTCCTGGCGTCACGTCTCTAAATCCTGAAGCAACACTAACTGAAGCTCAAAGCCTGTCTCTTTGAGCAGCCGGACTGAACAGCTGAAGCTGAGCATGTCACAGGAGAACATGGGTCAGGCTCATAGCCGGCATCCCTCAGGCTCAAAGGAGCTTCAACCTTCACTATCATGGATCCATATGCAGTTTGGTGATGCTTGTGGACCCTTATTCAGAATCATGACTACAAGTGCAGACAAAAAAACTTACACTTTTTAATTTTGATTCTAAGGCTTATATGTATAACTGATTAAAATGTAAAGTATGAATCACTCAAGCCTTAAAGCTGTGGTTGCTGTATTATATATACTCTGGTGTATTAATTTGTCAGAATGGATGTCTATAGGTCATTCTAGAGACGTTGGCAGAAGCAGAAAAACTGTGAGCCTTATGGTTCAGTGACATGCCATCAACCTCCTTTACTGTTTCCTCCAGAGTGTGAATGGCCAGCTCTTGGTGGAGGCATGACTAGAGAGAACAGGCCAGGGCCCCCTGGATGTAGGGAACGGGCTAATGACTGGACAGGCCAGGTAGAAGCTCAGTGCTGAAGCAGGGGCACTCTGCACTCTGCCCCAAGGGCAAAGTCTACATAGAAACAACTGTTTCCGACCCTGACACTAACAGACATCACATGTGCATGCAGGCAGGCCTTAGACTCTGCATGGAGCTTCACTGTGGTACTTTGTCACTGAGGCATGTTGTAAAACACTTTAAACTTACAACAGAGTTCCCAAGTTGTCAATGACTGAAAACAGTACATGGGTTCAAAGTCATCCTTTTAATAAAATGCTATCCCAAATAAATTTTGAAGAAAGGAACGGAGCTGTAAGTAGTCGGACGAAAACTTTGCATACCTTGCGATTCTGCTTTAGTGAACAGACTATTGAATTAGCAGCTGTTTGTTAGATGAAAACACCTTAATCTGCCACAGTTTTTCACTTTCTTTCAAACTGTGAAGAACTGCATTGTTAGTGCAGAGCACAATGCTACACAGATCTGGCCAACCCTCAGGACATTTGCACCACAGCGCAGTCTAACTCGAGTCAGATGGCGTGGGAAAGGTATTGCTATGGATCTGCTATCAAGCACTGCTGCTCTTTCGAGCATGCCACCACTCTGAATATGGTTGCATGCTTCTGTCTGCAGCAAATTATCACAGCAGGAATGTACTTCTGTGTTGGAAACAGCACAGCATGAACAGAGCTTGTTTTCAGTATTCCCAGGCTTCCTGCTTACCTGCACGAAATGACTAGGCGTCTCACTGCAAACTGAATGGATCTGTCCGTTTACTATGGGAATTATCTTAGCTAAAGGCAGGCTGACACTGGACAGACTGAAAAAAACAAAACAAAACATTACCACAGTTATTTTCTAAAACTGTATCATAGGCATTAACATTTTAATTATAAAAGTATACACTTATCATTGATGAACACTTATATAAGTGTTAATAGAAAAACAAAACATAACATCCTCATCTAAAAATAACAACTATTGTTGACTTCATGGATATTTCCTTCTAAGCAATTTTTATAATTTTACAACTTAAAACTCTATCAAGCATATTTTTGTTATAAGTGCCTTTCATAACTTCTACATCTCTGTCCCTACAATGTCCCTAGCTTCTTAGAGCTGGCACTAAAATTCTTGCCCACGTTTTCTTAATACTTAACTGTCTGTCTAAACATGGAATGTAAGGTCTGTAGTATCCACTGCCAGATACCTCGGGTCCCTTTCCTGGTGTGGAATTCCTGCACCTTTACACCATTAGCCCCTCCTCCACATCACACACTGTGCACATCTCTGTCTGCCTGTTATTTCCGGGACTTCTCAGTCCATATCTAACCAGGTTACCTTTACTATCACTTGACAGGCTTAACACCAACAAAACAACTGTCTCCCAGTCTCCGGTAGGGCTTCTACAGTATTTTGACTATATTTATAGATTAATTTTAGGAGAAGAATTTAACCCTTTAGTTAATTTTCCGGGGTTTGTTACTGTCACACATTATTTTCCCATTAAAAATGATCTCACATTTTTATGTAAGTATATAATGTATGCATATGCTTATGAAAGTATATATGTCACTTAGAAAATTAAGAGTCAATTAACAACTTATTAGTTGTCTGGCTTAAAGATAAATATAGGAGCCAGGCAGTGGTGGCGCACGCCTTTAATCCCAGCACTCGGGAGGTGGAGGCAGGCGGATCGCTGTGAGTTCGAGGCCAGCCTGGGCTACCAAGTGAGCTCCAGGAAAGGCGCAAAGCTACGCAGAGAAACCCTGTCTCGAAAAACAAACAAAAAAACAAAACAAAAAAAAAAAGATAAATATAGGAAAATTCAGTAGTGCTCCTAAATTTTTGTCTCCAGAATTGGTCTTTCCTTAGCCTTGTCACAGTCATAGAAAAACAAAAGTGCAATGCTGAGCATCCCAATACAGACCTTCTTCAGGCTGTTTCTGAATTTAATAAAAGTCAACCTGTTTGGTCAATGAGTATATTTGCTTTTGATTTCAATTTTTTTATTGTATCAAATTTTAATTATAATAAGATGCAATAAGTTTCTTATTCTATGCCTTTTCAACAGCAGTAAAGATGATTTGTGTCCTGCTAACATATTTTTATTAATATTTTATTTATTAGTGTATATGTGTCCGTGTGTGTGTTCGTGTGAGCACACACGGGAAGGGCAGGGTACAACTAGAGGGTCAGTTCTTTGCTCACACCACAGAGGTTACAGGGATTGAAGTAAGGCAGCAGACTTGGCAGCAGGGGCCGCTACCCACAGAGCCATCCTGCAGGCCTTGTTTTACTAACTTATTATTGTTACAGTTTACTGTAATAGTTTTCCTAACATTCTTTCATTCTTGATATTATTTCTAATTAGCTATGATGTTGAACTATAAAATTCTACGTTCTGACATCAGTCAGAAGTTATTAAGCCTTCAGCTTTCCAAGCCTTTAGATCTGAAATATTTAATTTTTTCCTACTCTCAGCACTTGTAACTTGGACAACCACTTGATCTCATGCTCGAACAACTGTAACACTTCTCCAACCTCATCCACTTCTGAACCCCGAGGGACCATGCGCCCTTCCTGCACAACCAGCCTTGGCTTCGCTGACCTGCAGCTTCCCCTCTCCTTACAGTCTGAGGCTCCCCTTGTGGCCTCTAACCTCTCTCAGCACGTACTTCATGTTTCCCACCTACGCCTTCTACTTCATATCAATAACCAACTTTCTGATGCTTCACCAGTTTAGAAACATTTCCACCATGTCGCCAGTCATTGCTGTTCTACAACAGGGTATAGGAGTCGAAGCCATCACAGCCACTGAAGAAGGAAGAGCTAAGGCCAGGGCGAGAGCCCAGTGAGAAAAGGTGCCTGCTGCCAGCCCTAACAACCACGTCTGATTTCCAGGACCCACATTATAGGAGACAATCAGCTCCTGAAAACTGCCCCGTCACACAGACAAACGAGTACAATTATGAAGATTCTTTTTTTTTTTTCCAGACAGGGTCTTACTATGTAGTCCTGGCTGGACTAGAACTACTGCGATTCTAGACCCAACTACTGAAATTCTTTATCACCACTGGGGAAATAACTAGTTCTTTGCTAAGTACAGGTTACATTGGCAATTCATTAGTTTGAATTACCTTGGCTACAACTGGAATTTATTTTTAAGGTAACATTTATATTGTTTTAAGAGTAAACCTTCCTGCTCTGAGCACTCCAGACGCTCACCATTATAACGAATTATCCTTTTCTGCACAATAAAGAAGGGTCCTCGAGAACCAGGCAAAAATGCCTTGTTAGGCCTAGGCTAAGAATTCCATTAGAAACCCCACATCTACATTACACGTCAATTACTGTTTCCTTAAATTTTAGCAGGCACATTTATAATCAATCAGCACTGATTTAGTAATCCATTATTTTCAAGTGTGATATAAAACCAGAGGTTCTTAAAGAGTGAGGAGCCTGATATGAAACAAAGAATCCTTGTATCAAAGTGATAGACACAATGAAACTACAAGGTAACTTCCAACAACATGAATCCATTATGTAGCAATCAATAGTCAGAATGGACAAACATTACTAATAATTGAATCAACTAGGTATTTCAAATTCCATAATAATGTAAAATGAAAATATTTAAGCATTTTTGGAAATAATTATTGGAATATAAATTAAATATGACCATATGGAAATAATTCAAACAATCTACAAGAATGCCTGGTTATCACCATCATCAGACCATTTAATTAATACAGTCCAATAGTGACTACATTATCAGCTTTTTATTTGAAAGAATTTTCAAAAATGGATTTTGACTTAATAAAGAGGTAGTTTCACCATGTAAACACTTCATTGTAGTGGCAAAGGCATGGGAGAAACAAGCAAGTTTCATTATTAAACTCAGAAGGAACTCTTGTCAATGAAGAAGTCATTGGTTTAGAAGAGTTTAATTTGCTGAAAACTCAGGGTACAATTTATCATTTAAGATTCTTTTTATCTGGTACAAAAATTTAACTATATCTAAATCATCACATTTTACGAGCATTTGTTCATATTATACTGTCTTATACACTATCTTACCTATTTATGGAGTTACCATGTTGCAGGTCCTGTTCAGTGGGCCGAAAGAATTCTGCCATGTTGTCTAGAAGCCGACTGAAGCCTCTGTTTAAACAGGTATTCAAAACTGTACTAAAATCTGGACTAGATAAAATAAGACGTATATTACTTTTTAGATTCCCAGTGGACAAAGAAAACAAATTTAATAACTATGTGGTTACCTTTCAGAATCATTAACATTTCTAGTTACAGTCTAGTTTTCATAGCATGAAAACTGTCTAAATTTATCAGTTTTTCAAAATTCAGCATAAAAGCCAGTTGTATTGTTTAGCCTGACATGATGAGATTATTCACCAACTGTCAGATTTTTATTCATATTAATATCCATTTTGTACAACTTAAGGTACAATTTGTACCTTAAAAAAGTCAGCTAGCAAGAATACAAACAAATCAGTCACTATAGACATTGGTATTGAGGTTCCTCAAACTATTAAAGTAGACACATCATGGGATCCAGCTACGCCACTCGTGAGTTTTTATCTGATAGGCTCTAAGTCAACATATCAGAGGTACTTGTACACTGGCGTTTACTACAGCATTATTTAAAATGGCTCAGTTATGCAATCAAACCTAGGTGTTCATCAACAGAAGAATGAATACAAAAAATGTAGCATATATACACAATGGAATACATTTCAGTCATAGAAAGAAGTTGTAATGTTTGGATGAAAATGTATGTACCCGTAGATAATCATGCTAAATAAATTAAGCCAGTCTTAGAAAGACATGTACATTGTTTTCTCTCATTTGTGGGTCTTACATTTTATGTAGACACATAAAATCATGTATGTATATAATAGACAGCAAAGCTGTCCAGGGGAACAGATGAAATTTTAGTTGGGGAGATGGGTGATAAAGAAGAGGGTACAGAGGAACAGAGGAAGGGGTGAAAAAAGAGAAGGCAGAGAGGCATGGGGGGATATAATCGAAGTACACAATAAGCTTGCATGGAAATGTCCACATGTAACCTACTTAAAAATAAAACAATTCTGCTTCCTTCTACTTTATACAGGAAATCCTACCTGAAGGAGGGGAATAGATTAAAATTTAAATTTTCACATAATATTATGTTGAATATTTGATCAGGAAACATTAGAAAATGGCTTTACTTACACTGAAAATACAAATACATTTAGATCCACTCTACATACCTTTCCAACATGTCTCTTGTCTCATTGAGAAGTTTAATAGTGGTAATATCTCTCGGAGAAAGCCCATAAGCCTGTAAAATTAGAATTCTAACTTCAGGGTTTCAAATACTACCAAGTAATGAATGAAGCAATCACAGCAAAAACTCAAGGGTTGGGGAAATCTGAATGTCTCCGCTTTGTCAACAACCAAAACTTTCAAATTAAAACAGATTATAACACCGGGCGGTGGTGGCGCACACCTTTAATCCTAGCACTCAGGATGCAGAGCCCAGCAGATCTCTGTGAGTTCGAGGCCAGCCTGGTCTACAGAGCGAGTTCCAGGAAAGGTGCAAAGCTACTCAGGGAAACCCTGTCTCAGGGAAAAAAATTTATAAAGGTTTATGTAAACTTGTAAGTTGTATTTAAAACATAGATTGAAGTATACTTTGTAAGGCTTTGTTTACTTATTTATTTGGTTTTTTTTGGATGTTTCTAGCATCCAGACAAAGAAAAATAACAGATATTAAGACTAGTAGGCCTGGGGTGCTAGCTTAGTGGGTAAGAGTCTTTGCTCTGCAAACTGAAGACCCAGGTGTAAACCCCCTGGGTGTTCATGTAAAAATCCAGGTACAGACACACATGCCTATAACCCAGGATTAATGAATGAGCAGACACAGGTGGATCTCAGAACCTGCTGGCCAGCTAGCTTAGTCAAAATGCCGAACTCCATGTTCAGTGAAAGTCTATCTCAGGGCAACACGGTGCAGAGCTACCAAGGAAGACATGCCTGTGCTACACGTGCTTGTGCACTGGTACATTCATCTACACACCACATGGATGTATCACAAACCTACACTACAGACAGAGCGCAGACCGACACACACCAAACAAGTCTCTTTCTTTTCTCGCACTATTGAGGGACTTTATTAGGATGCGTGAGCCCCCTGCTTTCCATTCAAACAATTGTGAGGCTCTGTGTGTCCCTTTCATCTAAAGTTTCAAGCTTTAATCCAACTCAGTCTGACTTGGGTCATCTTTCCTCTCTTCATTCATTCCATTCAGTCCTTCACCTCATTTTTACTTTGTCCCACTGTTGAACTCTAAAATTTATAAACTGTTCGATGGGTTTAGACTGTTAAAATTCTCTTGTGCATTTCCATGAGATCCTGTTTTATAACAATTTGCAGTTTTCTTTCATTAATCTCTCTCTTCAGTTTGAGATGAGGTCTCCCTGTGTTGCCCAGTCTCGCCTGGAACTTAGGGCACCCTGAAACAAGTGATCCTCCTGCCTCAGCCTCCTGAGTGTACCACCATGCCTGGCACTTTCATTAATTCTGTCTCATCTGTCCTCCTTGTTCAGTTTAGTTTTAATCTTTCAACTCCTAAGACTCCCTTTATAAATTACAACTTCCTTCCTTCCTTCCTTCCTTCCTTCCTTCCTTCCTTCCTTCCTTCCTTCCTTCCTTCCTTCCTTCCTTCCTTCCTTCCTTCCTTCCTTCCTTCCTTCCTTCCTTCCTCCCTCCCTCCCTCCCTCCCTCCCTCCCTCCTTCCTTTCATTTCTTTTTCTTTCTTGCCTAATCTTGAATATAGTGTCTCTCAGCACCCAAACAGATCATCATTTGAGTCCCTAGGGGAAGAAAAAACTCTCAGGCAATGAAAATGAATAGTTTAGTCTACAGGACCTGCCTGCTACAGAACTATCCGCTCCAGGCTTCTTCAGCTGTATGAGAACTATTCTTTTTCAATGGCAAAGAAGGGATTCAGTTGAGCCTATAAATAATGTAAAAACCCCACTAATTTAAAAATGAGTTATGTAACCTGAATATCTAACCCCAAACCCTTGGCATTTGTGTTTTCTTAACGAGTTTCTATAATAGCTGCGTGGACACACTGGGCTGTGATAACCCCAGAGCTGGTGTTCTACCAGGCTTGTTTGTGTCTCAGGTGAGTGGCCAGAGCTGCCTTCAGGCTGCTGTCCCACAGCCATTGTTCATTGTTCTTAAAAAATGTTTTATTTTTAATCACGTATGTACCTGTGTGTGTGTGTGTGTGTGTGTGTGTGTGTGCGCGCGCACGCGCGTTATAGGTAACAAGAAGAGGCCATAAATTTAAGCAAATCTGAATGTAGTCCTAGTTTCATTAAAACTTAATTCTGTAAACTGAAGTGCAGTCTTTTTATCTAGACAGACAAAGCTCTTCATGATCTTGTCTCCAGTGTGCTCTTCCTCCAGTTTGTTTGATCTCATATAATCATTGCTAGTCATACTAACTGAATTAGTCTCTTAAATTCCCAAAATGTAATGAACTTGTATTCTCCTTTTTATTCACAGCACTTATCACAGTGCTTGAACCCTAACTACGACTCAATAAAAATCTGCTAAATACTCAATATTCTAAGTGCTATGATAAATCATATTTATAGTTTTTCTAATGAATAAGGCTTTATTTAAATTGCTGAAACACAAGACTCAGAAATCTATATTTCAAGAAAAAGTACCAGATTTATAAAATATGGAGCATGAGTTAGAAAATACAGAATGGTTATGATCGAGTACCTGAGCTGCTAACGGTGTCTCTTCATCTGGCATCATGTATTGGCACAGTGAAGACTTGGATCCATCTTTATCAATCCAGGAAGGAGACCTATGCTGCTCCACAAGAATTCTGATTTCTTTTAGCTTTTGCTCCAAGTCCAAAAGGGACAATGATTGTTTAAGAGAAACACTAGAGCAGAGAAAACAGAGTCAGATCAATTGAAAGGACACAACGCCCTTCATAGCACCCTTTCTTAATAAGCTGGTATCTGAAACCCTGGTCCATTTGCTCAGACCTGAAGCTGCTGGACTGGAATGGGCTGGGCCGCCAGCCACCAGATAAAGGCCATTAGTACAGGGCCTCAGCAAACCTTTGCACAGATTTCACAAGAAAAGTCCTGCCATAATTATAGATCTTCTTAGTGTAAGGGGGTGGTAGGCCGATTTTAAAGTATTTTTTCTTAATCTCATGACTCACACATTTCTAATTCTTTTAGAAATCAATCAATAAACAATAAAATCTGAACAATATCCCTCAGTATGAAAAGGCTGACACTGATAAAGCAGATCTGTAACAAATACATAGGGTTATCAGATTACAAAGGATTTCACAAACTGGCCAGGTCACCCAGTTCCCTAAGACAGTTCTATCGTCTATCCCCTTTACTCTGCAGTACTGAGTAAATGCAAGACCTCCAGCCTGCATGCAAAGCAAATGCTCTAAATATGCCTGCCCGGCCCTTTTTTCCTTGTTTTTAAATTTGGAGACAGAAGTCACTAAGTCATCTAGGCAGGCCTTTAACTCTATCGGCCAGCTAAGCCTTGAACCTGGGATCCTCTGCTTCAGCCCCCTGAGTAAAAGGGAGGACAGAATTGTGCCACCACAACCAGCTCTTTTCTTCACCAGAATCAGGATGTCAGAAAAGCCAGAAGAAAAATGACTTACCTTCCTAAAATCTTCTGTACAGCTTGTTTAATGACAGTGACCAATTCTGTCAGGCCTATTAAAAGAAACACAGAGCCTTGTTCACTTAATGCCTCCCTCAATAGTATAAACATACATGCTGCCGACGGGAATCTTACCATCTCCAAGGAGGTGTTGAATACTTGACAAATACTGCTGCTGTACATCTGGGGGAGCAAGGACTGTCTGTATGGGACAGAAACAGAGTTAAACAAGTTAAGCTTCTAGAGGAAAAGCATCTTCAATGTACCAAAAAGTCTACTCTCCCAAGACAACAATCCTAACGCTACAAATTCAGTCATGAAAGAAAAGTCTGCTTCTCAGAGCTGATTAACGGTTGCAACTGTACTCAGAATACTAAAATTCAGTTAAACTTTGAACCTCTCAGAATAAAAAGCAGTGTACCATGAAGTCTGTTAAACTTACAGTGCCATTTTTGCCAACGGTTGCATTATCCAGGTAAATATATCCACCAATTATGTTTAGCTGGACTCGCAAAAGAACCACCAGCATACACGTGCTATACACAGCTACAATGCTTCTTGTGAAACCTTCAGAGAGAAGAGAAAAGAAACCCTTTGGCACTGTTACTAAAACACCAACAAACCTAAAATCATGACCTATCCCTGTGACTACTTTTAATAAGATGACTTTAGCAAATACGTT